CAAGCTTAATACCTAGAAATGTTTGTTCATGTCAAAAACATAAAAATATTATCTTGTCACTCAAAGCATTACATTTCATCGATTTAAAAATTCCCAAATTTATTCGCATGCTTTACCAAATACTTTAGTGTGTGACAAGAAAAATGATAATTGTTGGAATAATCTTTGTGAAGTTGTAAAGACGAAAAGTTAATTCTCAAAACATACCAATTAGATGAAAAAAAAACACAATAAAGAAATTACCTGGTACCTTTGGGAGAAAGTTACGCAACTTAATGAAACTAAATACCTCGAAAAAGCAATAAAAAAAGACAAAGCCATAATTTTGTATAACAATGTTTGCAAAATGCTACCCAAATTTGCATTATTTTATAAAAGGAAAACAATCAATGAGTTATGAAAACCAAAAAAAAGTTTTAAAAAGCAATCTTGATTCAGTTTTGCTACAAGTTGACTTTGCAGAAAACTTCTGAGGGAGGATGAAGTTCAGTCAGCACACTGGAACAAAAAATTATTTACTGCTATTAGCTGCTATAATAACTACCGATTCTTACAGTTTTATATTTTTGTGTCAAAGGCCATTTCGATTGAAGAGTTACTGCATTTAGGAACAACCATCCATTTAAGTCATTTAATTTATTCAGAGTATATAGATGTATAAACCATTGAACGTTTGCTGTCGAAGTTAGCATAAATTTTGACGTTTTTAAAACAATTGAGGTTTTGAGGCATGATTTTGAAACTAATTTTGAGTTTTGTAAACAAGTTCAGATGTTATTTCTTAGAAACTTATAATATTCTATATTACCAGCAATTTGGTACTAAAAAAAGGGCAGAATTTGAGTTATTCAACGCCCCAAGGGTATGTTGCAGTTATTTTAAAAACTATTTTTTTTTCCTAATGTACAAAAATTTATATTACATTTGTTCATCAAACTCAGCACTTTCTCTCACTTCAAACAACTATTTTAACCAGGGCCGTATTAAGGCTGATGCTGAGGAAGCTATAGCCACTAGCCCACCACAAAAAATAGGCCTACTAAAATAAAAAAAACAATTATAAAATATTGACCTTCTCCTAGAAAAAAAATATCAAAAAATAAAAAGGTCTATCTTAAAAAACGTCAAAAAGGCGAAAACACCAAATTAGCAACAATAGGATATTTAAAATTCGAGGTCTCACATACTAAATGTTTAACTATCGAACATCTAGACCCTGTAAAAAAAATGTTTATCAGATGTTTAACTGCTGAAAACCTAGAAACTGTAACAAAATATTTTACTTCGTTACACAAACTGTTTTTTTCTCGTTTTCATTTTGTTTATATCCATTTCAATAAAAAAAAAAATTCAGTGTATACTGTTTTGTTCGTTATATTATTATTATAATGTTTTCTTTTTATTAAAATAAAAATTAATAACCATGAAAAATAATTAAGGCAGATGGAAGAAAGAAAAAATTAAGAAAGAAGAGAAGAAACGTTACAAAAACGTTCTGGCAATAACTAAAAGGATTATTAAATTCTATCAACCCCACAAAATTACCACGCCTGAATCGAATATTAAACTTGGTAAAAGTAACGCAATTGCAACTAAAACTTGTCAAACTGGTGATCATGACCAACCAATATGCATGGATATATAAGATAACTTAACAACAAATATAAATCATATCTAAGAACTTCATGAACAAGAACTTCATGAACAAGATGAGAACTTCAATAAGAACTTCATGAACAAGATGAACAAGTTCTAGTAGAAGGTCTAAAAGAAGAGGTTAATGTGGGAAGGCAATGTGATACGCTTGTAGATGTAGATAAAAAGTTTCATGATGATGTAGGAATGTGGAAAGTTACTGATGTTTTGCACGATTTTTTCTGTTTTAAAGGAATTGCTAGTTTTCAACACATGGAAAACAATTTTAGCACGTCAAAAGGTATATTTCTAGGTAATACGTTTAAACGACGTTGTTTAAACAAACTTTTTTGTTGTTTTTTTTTTTTTTGAAAGCAGTTAAACGGTGAGAAAATTCAATGTTATTGGCCTTGTTATTCTCTAAAAACTAGTAAGATATTCTGTGATAATTGTAAACTATTGTCAGCGAAAGGTCTTGCTTTTCTTGGAAATAAATTTATTGGGTCTGTGAACAATGACATTTAGGATGTTTGGAGTTACTCACGGAGTATGATCCTTTTATTTTAGCGGACCAGTTGAACATTTTATAAAATTTATTCCGATAAGAAGTATACACTGTAAAAAAACTAATGTCAATATAACGTATGAATTTGAAATAAGGAAATAATATCTGTTATATTGGCGTTATATTTTTTTGTGTGCGTCATTATATATATATATATATATATATATATATATATATATATATATATATATATATATATATATATATATATATATATATATATATATACATATAGTTTATTCTTTAGTCTGTCTAACATTTGGTGTCAGTCAAATTATTGGTTTGAAATGGCTCGGATGCATAAAAGTTCACGAAACAAATTTTAAAGCTAATTTAATTAAATTCTAGTGATTGTTCTAAATGAACAATCACTAGAACTTGTAGTCGATATACAAGAACTTGATCATATCAAACAACCTCTGTCTCAATCTTCCTGTTTTTATACTGATCATCAATCATCATGCTTCACGTCATTTAGATTTATTACCAACTTGCAAAGTAATGAAATTTTTGCTGAAGACGTTATAAGCAAGCAAAGAGGCTTAGATAATCTATTTCCAATTGTTTTTTCATCCACTGGTCCTTCAGCTCAAATCAATCAAACTTCACCTAATATTACAAATCAAACTCTGCAATGTTCAAGAGATAGTATATCTTCAAATAAAAATAAATTGACAGAGATCTTAAATCCGAAGCGAAAGGTATTTTATACAAGTGTAATTGCTGTACTTTTTAATCTTCTAGGTATTGTTTGATGAAGAATCACTTACGTATTCATGGAAACAAAGGTTCAATTATTTGTGATACTTGCTATTCGAAGTTTAAAACGCTCTACGGATTAATATAAATCTAAATACGCCAATATAACGGCAAAGTTGAGCAAATATAACGCCAAATATAACGCCAAATATAACGCCAAATATAAAGCTAAATATAACGCCAAATATAACGGTTAACTAAAGTTATATTCGCTCAACTCTGGCGTTATAGCTGTTTAGCTGGCGTTATAGCTGTTTAGTTGGCGTTATAGCAGTTTAGCTGAATACATTCCATGTTGTGAACATTCTCTAAATTTTTTTGGTCAAAATGCTGTCAACAGCTGTCTATTTGCAGTTTATTTTTTTTGATTTCGTTAAAAAGCTGTTTTTGTTTTTCTCTGCTTTAACTCACCAATGGAATCTAATTTTAACTTGTTTTACTTGTTTACAAATACCCAAATTGAAACGACTTTCGGATACACGTTAGTCTATTCTCAACAATGCAGTTGATGTATTACGGAAAGAATTCAAGAAAACGATTCAACAGATTCTTGTCAGTATGTCTAAATCAACCTCTGAAAAAGCTGATAAGCGATAGGAAGCAAAAGGACTTAATGAAAGTATGAATAAGTTAGAGATTGAACAAATGGTCAAGGTATGGTCAATGGCTTAAAAAAGATTTAATAAAATAAGCAAATGTTTTCAAAATTCAAAACTAGATTTGCAATCTTTTAAAACGTTTAAGAGTTTTGTTCACAATTCAGTAAAATGGAGCAGAAATGTAAAATTCTATATCAAAATGATGCGTGTTAACAAGAGCATAAAGAAAAAAATAAGAGAAACAAAAGATGAGATTATCGTGTCCAGAAGCAGATAATTGTGACGCTGAATTGACGCCTTTGGAAAAAGTTAAAATACAAATATTTCTTTTAATTATTGACAAGCTATTATCAGCCTTGGATAAAGGAATCTCTGCCTACAGTGTTATTGATGATAGATTTAGTTTTTTGTTTTAAATTAATACTTTAAAATCGTATGATTTGAGAGCCAAAGCCGTGAATTTAGTTGAAATATATCATGAAGACATTGAGCTATTATTATTCGATAATATTATAAAATTTATTGCTTTGTTCAAACAGTTTAACAAAGAAACCATTTTTATAAGAAAGAGTAGAGAATTGCAGATGTTCGTATTTATTGGTAAGCATAGGCTCGTGGCTGCTTTCCTAAATATTTCGATAACAATACGCATGTAATTTTATTTAATGGTAAGTAATTGCAGCGGAAATTATTCATTCTCTTAACTTAAGTTCATTAAAAATGGTTTTAGATTAACCGTGGGTTGAGAAATTTTAAACGCCCTGTTATACATAGAAAATAGACTACTTCAACATCTTGATTTAGATTCTGTAATTGAAGAATTTGCTAATAAAAAATCTCAAAAAGCTAACGTCTAATATTTTAAGACTTTAGTAAATAAACAAATTTTCACAAAAACTGAAATATCATTAAAGAATTATTTGTAATTTATTGCATAAATTTATTAGTTGGTTTTTTATATATTTTTAAATATTATTATAAACTACTTATTAGAGTAAATATTTGAAAACGACGTTAACTGCATTTAATTATTATAGTTATAAAAAAATATTCAAATATTACTGCTACAAACTTTGTAATTTTTTTAATAATAAGCCGTAGGCCCACTCGAAATATACAGACTCAGGCCCTTTTGGTGCTTAATCTGACCCTCATTTTAGCTGAATAAAATAGCTACATTTTTCAAAGTTTTCCAAACGTGGAAAACTTTGAAAAATGCGTCAACGTTTTATGAAACTTCAAATCGCAGTCACTTTTTAACCACTTTGAATTATGGTCAAAAACTTTCAGGGTTTTCTTTATAAAATTATGTGTAGACATCCATAAAAATTTTAACAAAACCTAAGAACTCAACTATTTAAAGTTGCTGATTTTTCCTTATTAAAAAAAAGTCTTGACCAGTTAAAATTAATAATTAAATTTGATCCAGTTAAACGGTTGCCGTTAGTTTAGAAATACTATAAATTAACGAACAATTACGCGGTCTATACTTGGCTATGCTCTATTTTTTTTATTATGATTTCTATATATTTACTATTATATTATATTAGCAGTAGAAATTTTAATCATGGAAGGAGAACAAACTTCTCTGTAAGTTTCATTATAATAAATTATTTTATAGTTGTTTTTTTTAATTTTAAAAGTTAATTTGAATTTGAATTATGTTAAATTAAATCAGACAAAACATATCAGCTTTTTTTAATTTTAAAAGTTTAATTTGAATTTGAATTATGTTAAATTAAATCAGACAAAACATATCAGCTTACTATTTTATATTTACTATTTTTAATTTTTTCTTTACTTTATAGAATTTTTTACACTATTCAATTTTAATTTTTTAATTTTTAAATTGAAAAAATCAACTATTCCAACAATCCCATATAATTCAAATACAGATACATACTTTAAACAACTTTAAATCTGTACTATTTATGATATACTAAAAATTGAAAAACTCATTTTGTATACACAGATGTTATAAAAAAAAACTACTAGATATATATATAACAATTGGTTCACTCTGCTTACTGGAGTAAACAGTCACACAGAGAGCTCTGCTGTTTCTTTGGTTTATTTTTCCAGTTCATCTACGTTAATTTGATGTTTGCACGATAAAATTACGTAGAAACATTTCATGAGATTTTTATCTAAGGCAAGTATTTCAGTAGACAACTTATAGTTTCGGAATACATTTTGTGCCATTCATTTTGTACCTGAACCGCTTTCCATCATTTGTTGTACCTGAAATGCTGCTTTTTAGTACATTTACAATTAAACCTAAGTAATCTTTCATCTTTTGTTGAACGATAATATTTTTTTATATAACAATTTCTTTATCATCCTCTCCTCTAATTTGCCATTTTCCTAATTTGATTCTATAACTTATATGAAGGCAACATTCAAATCACCTAATCCATGCATGTAATATGCTCAATCCAAGCTCAGTGGAAACTGTATTGTAGATTTTTGAAAAAGCAACATTTAGATTGTTCATATTTGAAGGGGTGAGTCCATAAATACTACATATTTGAAAGGAATTACTTAAAGGTGAAACTATAGTAGTCAATTTTCCATCAACTATTGTGCATTCTAACTTATGTTAAATAACAAAGGAATTAAAGATTGTTAGTTTCAAGTTACTGCTCTTAAAGGAAATATATTCTTGTGTAATAACCTCAGCACTTTCTTTTACATATTGAAATCATATTGGGCCACAGTAAACAGGCTTGGACAGGAATGGCGTGCGATTGAGCGCTATTGCTGACCACGCAAATGATTTTATTTTTTAACAACTTGACCACGATTGTTAAATAAACAATGTTTATATGTTTTGATGAGTTAAAAATTTCAGAAATGTTCTGAATGTAGAAACGCTAAGCTAAACTTAAACTAGAAAAAAAAATAAAAAAAAACTAACGAAAAAAAAACAAAAACTAACGAAAAAAGAAACGAAAAACAAATTCATAACGAAAAAGAAATTATATAAGCACTAAAATGAAAATAAAAACTTAAACTCGAAGCGAAACTTTAAGTTATGTTTTTAATTACGTATGAAATAAACGTTTAATGAAAGAACAAATTTTATTAAATTTATTAAAAAGTGTTTTATATAATATTTTTAAATTGCATAAACATTTATTTTGTCAAAAAAGTTCTAAAATAAATAATTATTTAAAAAAATAATATAGTCTTTTTAAAATAGTAATTTTTACTAATTTCATGCTCTAATTAGTGAGTCTAATTAAAAAAAAGGTTTTGAACTTTTTTATTCGTAAAAATTGAAGAAAAAAAATAAATAAAATGCGCCTGCGATTCAAATAAATTAACTGCCAACAAGCTTTTTAATTTAATTTTAATTTGAGCATTACAACTTAATTAAAAGGTGCTTCGCATAACAAATTTAAAAATTATTATAAAAGATTTAAACTTATTATAAAAGATTTAAACTTATTTCTAACGAAATTGAAAAAAAAAAAAAAAAAATTGTTTACAAAAAATAAAATGTTTATTTCAAACATTTTTAAAAATCGTAAGTTTAATCATAAAAATTTATAGTATGATATTATATGTATATATTATATATTATATTATAGTATATAAATGCTTTAAAACTTTTTCATTAAATCATTAAAATACATGCTTATATAAGTAAATAAAGTTATTTTATATTCTTGTGTAATTCACATAAAATGTATTAAAGTTAGTAGCCACAAAAGTTTTTGAACTTATTCACAAATTAAAGTAACTTAAAAAAATTCTTTCTAAAAATAATGTTTTAAAAATGTTTTAGGAAGACATAAGAAAATAGTTTCAAACGTTTAAATTTATTATAAAAAATGAATGCCTACATAAAAAAAACTTATTTTATATAATGTTTTTTATTAATTTACACAAGCGTTTATGTTAACAATAACTATAATTAATTTTGTGATTTTATTTAAAGCCTTTGCGTAAAATAAAAAACTTTAAAAAAGATCAACGATTAAAAGATATTTATAATGTAACACTTTTTTTATTGCATTCAAATTATAAAAAGCATCAAAATAGCCGTGGTCAAGTTGTAAAGAAATAAAAATATTAGCGTGGTCAGTTACAGAGTGCGATCGCAGGCCATTTCTGTCCAAGCCTGAGTAAAGTGTAGAGGTTGGTTTTTCATTAGTTCATAGTGATTTACCAGATTCTTCAATATAAAGTTTAATTGGAACAATGTAGGATAAAAATAAAAATTGTTCCTCTACATAACTGATACTTATCTTTGGCCAATTAAACTATCAAATCCTACTTTGTGCATAAAGAGAAGAATGGACTTCTCAGGAGCCTTTACAGATTCATTGAGTATTTTTAATAAACTGTATGTAGTATGGTCAATAAGGTTTTGTAAATCAACTAAGGCTGTATAATCAGTAGTTTGTATTTCACAACTAAGTATGCATAAATCTTTTTCTTCCCCGACTTTATTATAAGTTGGATAAAATTTGTTTTCTTTAGAAATTGCTTCAATGCGAATTGTTTGTTAATTGGCTTTACTAAGTCATCAGTCCAAAATCAACGCTAATGCTTCCTGCGACAACTAGGCCTTCAATAAAATTTTGCAAGTGCCTAAACAAATGAAAAAATAAAAGGAAAATTTCATTTTTTTATTTGTCTAGGTCTAGAAATTTTATTATAGAAGTACAACCAAATTTTTGATAGCAATAAACACAGCAATTAAACTAATGAATATATTTATAATGAAAATATTTATAAACAAAACAGTAACAAAGTTCAACTATTCTAGTTTTTAAAAATACTCTATGTTGAAATCAAATTCTACAAAATTTTCCAACAAAACAAGTCTTCACCGTGCTAGCTCAAAATGGACTTGAAAAAATGTGGCACAGAATTTAAGCACAAATTAGGTTCCGTAAAATGGGATTTCTGCATACCTAGTATATATATATATATATATGTATATGTATATATATATATATATATATATATATATATATATATATATATATATATATATATATATATATATATATATATATATATATATATATATCAGGGCTCGAATTAAGTGATCGCGGATTGCAATTTCCGGAAATATCTGTGGTCATTAAATTCTTAGTTTTTTTAAAAACCGTAAACACTGTTTTAATGAAACGGTCAGTTTATCATATTGCAAAAAATAATGAAAAAGCAAAACAATAAATTTACTACTGCAAAGATAATAACAGTCAAAATTTACATGTTATTAGTTATTGTTTTTTTTAAACAATAATTAATAATATTTAATTTAAGGATTATAAATAAAAAAAAGTTGCAAGACAAAAATTTTTATTACTAAAGGTCCGAAAAAATTTTTTGAAAAAATTTTGATTTTTAATTTAAAAATCAACCAATGAAAAACTATGCTTAAGCTATTTGCGCATTGTATAAAACTTTGTATTAAAAAAACAACCAATTAAAAAGTATGTTAAAAAAACAACCAATTAAAAAGTATGCTACTTGCGCATTATATAAAAGATTAATTTAGATTTTTATTTAGCGGGAAAGTTTATGGAATTATTTATTTAAAAATTTAAATGTTTTAAATTAGAATTTAATTATTTAATAAGAAAAAAAATTATAAAATATATTTTTTAAAAGAATGTTATTAGAGTTTCTTTTTTTTTGTTTTGAAGTAACTATTAAAAAAAAAAAATTAGTTTTTATATATTAACTCCTCTGTCTTTTAATTTTATATTCGTATCAGCTAAAGAGTTACAAGCGTTAAATTTATAAGAAAATATTGAATGAGATTTTAATAACATATAAAAGTAATTTATATCTTAATTAACAATTTCTTTTATTTAAAATATTCGATCACTGTTAAAGTCCTTTAGATTGTTGTGATTAGCGCTTGTTTTTTAATATTTATATCGTACTTTATCGTGCTTTAATTTTCTAGGTTTATCTGATGTTTTATAAAATAAATTAAAATATTAAAGTTTAAATTATAATCTTTAATAATAATAAAAATAATAGTGATAATATGGTTTTACATTAGGAATTTATATCATAATTGACGTAAATATTTTTTATTTAAATGATATCTATTAATTCGAGCCCTATATATATATATATATATATATATATATATATATATATATATATATATATATATATATATATATATATATATATATATATATATATATATATATATATATATATATATATGTATATATATATATATATATATACATATATATATATATATATATATATATATATATATACATATATATATATATATATATATATATATATATACATATATATATATATATATATATATATATATATATATATATATATATATATATATATATATATATATATATCAGGCCTAGTGATAAATAAAAACTGCACGACATGATTTTTGACATCATTAAATTCTTTTTATTTGCTTTTCATATTTATCGACATTAACTGCACCAATTTACTTAATTACCGCAAAACTACTTTAAATCATTAATGTAGAAATGTTATTATTTTAAAATTTTTTGGAATGTTTCGATTTTTAAAATGTAAAAACATTTGTTTATTTTCTCGACATTTGACAC